AATGACGTAATCTTATATTCCGTATTTGGATAAATGGGCGGACCGAAATAAACAATTTCAACCAATCAAATGTTCATATTTTTGGAGCCACGAAACTGAGTCACTCGCGTCGACTAGTTAGGAGGCATGACTAAATTTAAATAGTCCTCCCTAATAAAACGGGCCTAAAATATTTAGAATAGACCCTAGTAAGACTAATGTTGGCAATGGCAAAAACAATTAAGCTTAGACTACATGGCATACCATACAAATACAACAGAACTTTAACTTTCCAGTAGGATGGCTCAGGCCTCTCCTGGAGTCAGGTAGTAGGCCTAGCCTAGACTAGTAGTAGAGGCTTGGCCTATTTTTAAGTTCTTACTCACAGAGGCCTACCTTTTTAACAATATTCTACCCTAAAGGCCTAAATCTGTGTAGCAGCTAGCGGTGAACAAGGTTCCAAGTAGGCCTATAGCCTATGGTTAGCAGTCCATGTCGTTCTCAGCAGGCTAGAACTATTATACTAACTGTTTTAATTCAAGTAGGTAGCCAAAAGGAAGCTGGAGCTTGTTCTAGTCGAGACATCCGCATCTTCAATTTTGAAAATTTACCAAGATTGATTAATATGCATGAAGTTAACCAATCACGTGATTTACAAAATCAGTCATGCATACGATATCCCACATCAAATTTGATGTGGGAAATTGTACGCATGAATCGTTTGCCCAGGCCCTAATTCGAAAAAAAAGAAATCGAGTATGGGACGCCAATTAAATTAGGTATGGCGCGCACTAAGTGCAATAAAGAGTGAGTAACCTAAAATTAGGGCCTGGAACCCAGGCTACGCCACTCCCTGAGACAATCATGTTTAGCGCCCTCACTCGTTTTTCACATTATTACTTTTACATTTTCTAAGTATATTTTTTCTAATTATGCACAAGTATGACGTACGCAACCAAGGTGTTCCAGGACATGGCGGTGAATACGAAGTTCAAGCCGGCTTTGGATGGACCAATGGAGTGGTATTGACTCTCCTCGATCGATACGGCCACCTACTTGCATCCGATGCAGAAGAACCAGTATCGTCTGCGCCAACTCATCGAATATTTATGGCAACATTGTACGCTCTGCTTCTTATCCATTTAGGTTGAATTAGATTATATCACTAGGCAAATGAATTTTATGGAAGTCAAGTGAATACATTAACATCAAATACTGGAACATATTGAGTCCGTCGTTACCTCACGTTACAATGAATCATGTATATAGTTGAAGTCACTTGTAATCACTTTTAATCTCTCTACATACAAATATTAGGCCTAATTGGGCAGAATTTCCAAGTACACCTTATAATGCTAGAATATAGGTCGTTCTCCGTTGTAAATACATTCATTTAGATCTATTGAAAATATAAAAATCCTGAAAGTTCCGTTCTTAATTGGTTGTGGTGGAACGCGTATGCCACAAATTGATGCATTTGCGCTGGCCGACTAAAACTTTATTAGCACGCTAGTGTGAGTCTAGTTAGGTGAGTTAAATTCTAGTAATTTCACGCCACGTAGATGTCAAGACGTGGTCATGAGCTTGCAATGTTGTTCATGTATAAAATCAATAATTCTTATGTCATAGTTTCTCTTGCTGCAAGAAAACATAACAGCATCCTGTAGTAGAAAAGCTATAAATGCAGTGACTAATTTGTCAGGTCCGTGTAGGCCTACATCAATCGTTTAAGGCTTCTTTGGGCCCAATACCCTCAAGAAATGCCCCACCCACTTCGGCGTATTTGACGATTTTTTTTAGTGGGGTTTTTGACACGTTAGCGCTTTTTAAAACGGACCGCCTCGGCCAACATATTGGGAAAATGGTGATTAATATCCTGGGGGTTTAAAGGCATGGGGCCTCTGGCTTTAGCCAGTGACAGCTCATAGTTGTTACGTCACTGCAAACTAGTACGCCTCTCTCCAATAAACAGGACATGACAGAGGTCGCGCTCCAATTTGCGTTTAATAATACTTTATTGCATCGCCAAGAGTCAATGTATGGATTAAGTCCAGGAAATTTTGCATGTACAATATGACCACTTGTTTAATAAAAAAGGAAATTTATATACAACAATATTATAAATAATTATTATTATAAGATGGGTATGACGTATGAGCTAAGCCTAGCCTGTGCGAAAGCTTTACTCAAATCCCATTATTGGCTGTTCTCATTAATCGTCAAAACTTTTCCAGATTATGGAATAAGACGAGATTGAAGCAGTTAGATTGCGTCGGATATTAAATTTATTTCATTGCCAAAGGCACTATTGCTTGCTTATATCATATATATATATATATAT